CAAATTGGAGAGTTCAGTTATTCCACCGTGAACCATTTCCTGAAGCCCTAACTAACGGTAATCCTCCTATTTGAACATCTCCCAAGTAAAGAAACCCAGCAGACTACTCCCCTTTCAGTAAGTCCTATTTACTGGAAAGTCCTTCCTGAGTACAATTCTGCCTTTCTTCCTTTTACAAGATTTTCTAGTTGTGTTCTCTGAAGCCTCCTAGAAAGATGATCATTCCTTTTCCATATTACAATCCACCTATTATGTGAAACCCACTGTCTTGTCTACAGCCTCCTTTATTTAGACTTATAATACTTTCTTGACCCTGCTTCCTTTGATCATATCTAATAGGAGATGGTTGCCAATCTGCTCACTAACTTCTTTAATTAGAACTTCTCCTCTAGATGGACTCCGGTTTATCTTAAATAATAGTACTCAGGAGTAAACACAACCAATCCAGCTGTGTTCTGGCCAGGGTGAGCACTAGAGTTCCAGTCTAATACCATATAAGCTTTTATAATAGGTTTTCTAGTTGGAATCATTTCATTCCGAGGTCAATAAACAGTAAACAGCATGTTCTAAAATGGGGAGGGAGACTCCAGACAGGAGCCGTGGAAGAGCTGTCTTCTTGGACCAGCTATTTCTACCCTGCTCTGTCCATCCCTGACTCCAGCCCCTCTCCAAAAAAACAAGGCTAACTCCAAGAAAGGAGATAAATATTATGAGATATTTTTGGAGAAAGCTATTGGTGTGCAGTGAGTCCTACTTCCCTGTCACCATGGAGGAGGGTGAGAGTTATTATACCTCATTTTAAGCATAAGGTTAAAGAGTTTAAACTCGTCTATTCTGAAATTCCCTGGATCTGGAGAGGCATGATGGACAGCTGTATATCTTGAGACTAAAAAATCAAAAGGGCAGAGACTGGCAGGCATCTCAGTGCTCAGAGACCTGCAGGATGGAGGATTGGCTGCAACAGGTTGGCCTCCATACAAGAACACGGATATTTACATGACTGAAAGGAGGCTGCTTCTTTGTGCTTTGAAGTGACTGGAAGAATTTATATTACCTAAGAATAACAGAAAAGCATGGGACTTACACTAGATTCTATCTATGAAGCAAAGAAATAATTTGCCTAAACTGAATGGATTGGAAAGGACCATAGGAAGCAAAAATAAAATTGCTTCATAGATTACACCTTTTGTTTCCTTGTGTTCAATATACTAAGTTGTTTTATACCTACACACATATATATGTCTGTGTATGTTTACATACACGTATGTATATATGGCACATATATAGAAGAACAAGGTTGTAATATAAAATCATAATAGCTATAATTTGTTGATTGCTTATTATTTTCCAAGCACTGTGTCAGTACCTTCCCAACTGTTATTTACTTTTCACAATCATCTTAGGCAAAGTTCATCATTTTCATTTTATTGAGCAAGCTGTTCAGTAGTTTGCCCAAGAGCTCACATTTTTTAAGTGGCTTAGCCTGAACTTGGGTTTGCCCAGTTTTGAGGTGCAAGCTTTTAATCACTGATTTATTTTGTTGTTAGTTATAGTCAGCATGTTTTGTGACAACAGCAAGTGATTTTATTGTGTAGGTTTTCCAGTGAGCACTGGACATCAAAAAGGATTGAGAAGATTATTCACAAGGTGTGGTATAAATCAGCTTATTTCTTCTGAGGGCTGATATTATTGTAATGAATACAGATAGAAGGAACAGTGTGTGACACTAACAGGAAACGGCAGTGTTAACGCAGAAACAGCGTTCTGTTTTTCTCCACCGAAAGCGCGGAGCTGCTTCCACCTGCCGGCCAAAGGGACAATTGCAGTATTTCCTGTTCTACAGGGACCTTTCAGAGAACAGCCAGGGTGCTGGGCTAAGGGCGCCCCTCACCTCGTCACTAGGTGGCTCTAAAACTTCACCGTGAGTATTGCAAAAACTGGGCGAGAGGGGAATACAGTGCATATGAACCGACCAGAATGTCTTAGTGATCAAGCAGAACGAAGAGCTCTGGAGCAGCAAAGATGACCGAGCCACTCTGCCAGCCTCACATGTATCCTGGAGGACGCTGGATGGTTCAGAAAGAGCAAATCCAACACTAATTTCTCTTCCATAAAATGTGGGGGGCTGTGAAGATGAAATTAAATTCAACATATATTGTTGAAAGCCTACTACATGTCAAGCAGAATTTTAAGCACTTGGAATACGTTGGTGAAAAAAACAAAGCTGCCTTCATGGAGCTGAGATGAGATGATGGTATATTTAAAAATATTTTATAAACGCTAGTGAACCACTTGCACAGTGACAGTTTTTCATTATGTTTATACCACATTGGAAACCCCTGCATATTTCTAACCAGTGTGCCTGTGGACTATTATTGGGAGTGGTGCTATCACTTAAGGCTGTGTTCAGGGTCCCCTGAAGGGAGCTCTTCACTTCCCACCAGGCCCCTGGTCCACTCCCTGTGGCTTCTCCAAGACAGGGATCAAGTCTTCCAACCTCTATTCTCTTTGTGTCCCCAGGATCTAGCATAGTACAAAGTCAGAGTCGACTGGCCATGAACGTGTGCTGACTGGAAGGGAACTCATCTAGGACTGAGTTGATAGAGCTAAATATTGGAGTGTAGAGCATGGGCAGAAAGTGACTGCGATTTGTCTGTTTAGACTTGTGAGTAATTTAGACTGCCTCCTCACCTCCTTCCGCAGCGCTCCCTGCACGTTCACCTCTTCCTTCGAAGTCCCACCCCCGAAGTCCTTCCTGCTCTGTCAGTCGGCCTGCCTCTCCTTTGTTGGATCTCCTGTCATGTTAGGGCCTTGCCCACAAAAGTTGCATTTAGGTGTGATTATCTTACGTTCTCTAAAAGCAGTAAGCTTTGATTCAGGAACAGTTCTACAGTCACATGTATAATCTTCACATTTACAATGTACAATTTGGGGAATGAAATAAATTTTACAGTCCTTAGCTTTCTTGTGGCAAAGATCATTATTTCCAGAAATACATTTATATGTGTTTACGTGTAGAATGCATGCATGTGCTCAGTGGTTTTTCCCTCTCTTAATCCTCTCCATTAAATTCTAATGTTTTGATCTGGGACCTTCTTTTGGTACTAGTTAGGGAAGAATTGGTACCAAAGATGTATTTCTGATCTCCTTCTATAGCTTTGTCTCTGACCTATAGTATACGACCCTGAAAACCAAGAGGCTGGTTTCAAAGCTGATTTTTCTTCTCTTCTCCTTAGTCTCTCACAAGCATGGTCATCTGTCTCAGGATTAGAATACTTATACTTTGCATAAGTATATAAAATGTGAACCCATGGCCTCTGTTCCCAATGTCCTGGATCCAGATCTCTGAGAGCCCCGTTCTGCATTTATAACCTGCAGTTTGGAGATTCCAGTGTGCACTGAGGGTCAGGGCACATTGCCTTGGGGTGTGCTGCTGGCAGGAAAGGACATTGTGAGAGGTGTCTGCGTGGAAAGCTGACTGCCAAGTCCAGGACTCTTCCTGTAACAGGGCTATGCTTTGGGGATTGGTTTTCCCTCCCAGATCAACAGAGCATGAGCATCTTAGATTTTAGGATACAGGAAGATTCCCTGGTGACTCACCAAAGCAGCCTCTATGTGTGTGCTGTAGCTTCACATACAGATAATTCCATTCTTTGAATGAGCACTTGAAGAACAAGTATTAATTTTCTCAATTCTTAAGTACAGTAAGTCAAACAAAATAAGTCAACTTGAAAGCATCTCTAGTGTACCTCACAAACTGATGATACCTACTGTTAACATATACCTGCATATCCTTATATGTGACAATACTTTGGCTTATATTCTACATATGGTTGGTTTTACATCATATTTTTTTTACATTTAATTTTACATTTTTACTTTTAAAAAAGTTTTGACATTTAATTTTACCATTGTGTTTTACATATTTGAATACAAATGAATTAAAATTAGAAAATAAGTTTAAGTCATACAGTGTTAATGTTTCAATGTTTTCTTGAAAGATGTTGTATCAATATTGATTTTACCCTTTTGCCCTAAATACTCTGACCAAACCATTATTAAATGGAAAAAAAGTAATACCTTTATGAGTTATACTGGAATAACTACCTTAGTAGCTGATTCTTCCCTAAATAATGACCTGTTTCTAATTCTTTCCCTGTTCCTCTCTCTCTCCCTCTCTCTCTCTCTCACTGCCTTTGTTATTCTTTCTCTTGCATTAAAAACCACATAAGATATTTTTAAATATTATCACTTAAAATTTATATTTTAGTATAAAGAAGTCTAACTGATGCTGGTAAAATGGCAATATGTATGCTATCTTAAATATTTTCAAAAGACTACTGGTTATGAAATATTTATACCCAATAAAGCTACCCATTCAGATAAAGGTAAAACTCCAATTGCCCCTGCTATATCAAAAACTTTTTTTAAACCTATTTTTTGTAACATAAATGTGTTTTTTTTTTTCTTTCCAGGCATATTTTCACACATTGGCCCATAGGAGAAAAGTAGTCATATAAGGAATTCATGGGCATGTTAATTTTTTACCACTTAGCTATTTTTGTCAGACACTATTCTAAATGATTTACAATTTCACTTTTTTCTCACAAACATCTTGTGAAACATGAAAACCCCCATTTTACATAGCCACATCTCAGATACCCTCGGCCTCTAAGACATAGAGCAAGGATTTACTCCCAGAGCTGATTGGATTTAAAGGTGCACCCTTTCCCATTCCCTGATGCTGGACCTCTAGGAGCTGGGGCTCTGCCCGGGGCCCAGGCGCTGGGAACCCCAGTGGAGTTGTTCTGCCCAGCACTTTGGAATGCAAACCCCCTTGAGCAAGCACTTGTTTAGCATACTTTCAACCTGTGGCCTGTCTGTCTAAGGTACTCAGCGAATATTAAAATAGTCCTAATAATAAAATAGCACTCAGTCAACCATGAAGCCTCCTTACTGAGGGGGAGGAGAATGGCTCACTTTCCCTGGAGGGCCCGAGAAAGATCAGTTTACAGGCCTCTGCACCGGGTGTGATCCCCTTTCTTCTCTCCATCCTGGCGCTGGCATGTGCCTCCAGTGACCATTATCTCACATTAGCCCACAATCTGGGCAGAAAACCGTACATGCCAGGCTCCTTTTCTCCCCCACACAAAACATACTCAGTCATTTCACTGACCTGATTTCTGATTGGAGGCTGGTTGCTTTGGATAATGACCTCCAGGACCCCTCTGTGGGTTACAAGCCTGTTTGTACTACTCTTACAACTTAAGACGTCTGCAGTGGCCTCTGAGGAAAAGGAGAAGACGAGTATTTTCAATCCCCAAACACGAGAAACTCAGAAGACTGACAGCATTCTGGCTACCTGCGTGGGCCCAAGGTTGGTGCTGCCTATGCGTCCCTTCCAGACAGGCTGCTCGCTAAAATGAGGGATCTTCTTCAGTTCATCGCCTGCTTCTTTGCCTTTTTCTCCACTGGGTTCTTGGTTGTGGCCACCTGGACAGACTGTTGGATGGTGAATGCTGATGATTCTCTGGAGGTAAGAAGTCAGCAACTTTTTCTGACCCATCCAAATTTTCTCAAAGCCCCAGTTCCTCAGACATTTACTAGGACTAATGATAGATATAACAGCCAAAGCGGGTATACTTTCTCCTTACTTACTACTTACTGAGTCTTGCATTACATCATGAGCTCATTTAATCCTCATAGCTCATCTATGAGCAAGGTATGTTGTTATCCCATTTTACAGAGGAGAAAACCCTATTTTTTCATAAGGACAAATTCATACCAGGTTACTTACATAATTCCTGCCACTGAGCCCTCCAAAAATTCTTGTCTTTCAATGCTTCATATACCAGATAGAATAATATTCTAGTAACATTCTCCCTATAAACATAAATTTGCTAATCTGGATGACAGCATTTAAAATAGAATGACAGACTTTCTTAAAGAGTGATAGTCTAAGAAACTGAGTTGTCAAACTCAAGGCTTACAAAACCTACCTAATTACTAGGCAAGAGAAAAGTTTTGTTTTAGGGAGTTTCCAAGTAGGAAAAAATATTCTGATGGAGAACAAATCTTTCCGGTGTGTCCCAAGGTTTTAGGAAATGTAGGCAAGAAAAAGAAACTATATTAGGAACTCAAAGACTACATAGCAGCTCAATAGACTCTCTTGGTACATCCTGGAGGGAAAAATTTACTGTAACAGATGATATAATGTCTTCTCTATCAAGTTTAGGAAAGATACCCAAGAGCAAGTTTATATATTTTCCTAAATTTATTTATTAAATTCCCAAGTTAGAGTTAAAAATGGAAAGTAATAATATTTTTCTGTTGCTGTGTATTATTTTTTTTCTCACTTTAAATTTTCTTCTGACTTCTACATGGCATTTCAGAACTAAAGGAGTTACAAATACTTCTTAAGTGCTAGGACATTATAACTCTGAAACTTGTGGTACAACTAAAATACTGTAAAGGATATCTGCTATATGTGAGTCCAGCAATGCATTTAATTCCAGCCATGAATAGAACTCGTGAATGAAAAATGATGCCCTTTGAACAGTGCTCAGAGAACAGTTCAGAAGAAAATGTCTGCTGCCATTAGCTTGCCAGACTCTGGACTGCCAGAAGTGGGCAATTAATATGGAAATATACTGGACTTGAGGACACTTAAAATTGTGTTTTTAACAATATGTGCAACCTCTCCTAAAAGCATTGTTAAAATATTTTCAGAATAATATGAAAATCTTTCTGCTTAAGCTGGGAATTGATAACTTTACTTGATAAGAAATGGAGGTTTAGAAAGGGTCAAACCTTGCTGAGAGAGATTGGGAGTACTGGCATTTAAAGTGCCTTCTTGCTTTCATTTCAGTACACCAAACCAATTTGCCATCTGCTCTATGTGAGAACATTTCTAGTTAAAATGAGTGGAATGAACAGTCCAGGTTAATCACCTCAAGTAAATCCTTGCTAACTTTGGACAAGAGTTAGTATGTTTTAGCTTCTTTCTTATTTCCCATACTTGAAATGTATTGCTATGAATTTTTCCCAAGAAGCCTCTATATTTAAAAGAACGTGGAACAAATGAGCCCCCTTCTCTCGAATGATCTCTATCAATATTTTTAAAGGGATAAGCATCTCTCATAATAATTGCTTCTTCAATTGGCCAGCATATAAAGTCATACTATTCATTAATTTTAAGACTCTCATACTCGGTGATCCAATTATACTGCTCCTTCTCCTTCTTCCTTCCTTTTGTATATATTTTCTTTGGTCACCTTAAACAACTATTGGACAAAAGTTGACACAACAGAAGTGCTTTAAAGAAAGCATACGCATGGGAAAATTTAAACAAAAAGAGACTAATGAATTTTTCACTTTGTTAATCTTTTAAGGTAACTCCATCAGAGTTGAAAATGGATACTATAGTTCAAATTGACACAACAAACATGAAATATATGCCATATAAAAGGTATGCTAATCCTACTGGAGAAGGCAAAGATAAGGTGACAGTGGGCCCTGCCTTCCAAGAGTATTCATTCAGTGGGGAAAGAAAGATACGCATAAGACTATAATAAAAGGCATAGGCCGATTCATATCTGAAAAATAAACGCACAAAGTAAAATTGCAGCAAAGAAAATAAAATGTTTATTTCCCATCAGGGACACTGAAGCAGGCCTCAGGGAAGAAAAGACATTTGAGCAAAGCCTCCAAAAGATACGAAGTATTCCAGAAGGTAGAAACGGCAGCAGGGGCCTTCCGATGAGAGGCAAAAGTACAGAAGGAGGGAAAACTAGGGCTTATTAGCTGACCAAGGGGACTAATAGGTAGCATGAGGCAGAAAGAGCTCAAATATGCTTTTGTGTTTCTAAAGAATACTCAAAATATTACAAAATATTATTTTGCCTTACTTAAACCTGCCCTGAAGAGGGAAGTTCTTTGCAGTAAGTAAAACGTTAGGAAAAAAGAAGTAACACATGAAATTGCAGTGTGCACAGCCCCCAACCCAGGGCCAGTGACCTGAGCTACCATCCTGCTCCTGTCATTATTGATTCTCTTGTGTCTCCAGGAAGACTGATGTGGTGAAGAGAACATGAGTTCTGAGGTTATGCCAACCTTTGTTTGCATCTTAACTTCTACTGAGCAAGTCACAGCTCGTATGTTTGGCTCAATTTCCTCACTCATAAGTTGAGCCCCATGGTTTTAAGGTTCTCTCTGATCTTTACATTCTTTAACAGCAGGACTCTTTGACTATGCCTATGACAATTCCTGTGGCCCCAGAGAGATGGCCAGTCACTGAAGGACCAATGGCAGTAAGAGGCACCTCAGAAATTGGCACTAGGAATCAAGTGTGAATATTCGCTATTTTTTGTAACTTCATACGTTCTTCTTCCAACCTCCTTGCCTTCTTCTCTCCCTTTGTCTTCATTTTCTCCCTTTCTTCTCCCCCATCTCCTTTCCTCCTATTTTATCTCTTATGTTCTTCCTCTTTCTTCTTTTCCTTTCTCCCCACATTTCCTTTATCTCTTTATCCCTCCTTTGTCTCTACTTGTTTTCTTTTCCTTCTAACTTTTTTAATTCCACAAATACTGTTTTTTCCTGCTGTCTATCTGGTACTGTGGTGGGTACCGGATCAAGAAGGAGAATGAAACCTGGATCTCCTTTTGTTGCTCCTGTATATTCAGGGAGACAAACAGGTGAATTGATTGTGACAGCATGGTGTGACAAGTGCTGTGATAACAAATAACTCTGGCCAGCGTACCCAATCTTGGATAATCAGTGAAGGCTGCCCAAAAGAAGAGATGTCTAAACTAGGACCTGAAGACAGGTGAGTGAGGCAGGAGAAGCAGAGAGTATTGCAAGCACAGGAAGTGAATGATGTGGGCAGAGATCCAGATATTTGAGTACTGTGTGATTGTGGCTTTGGACATATTTCAGCAAGAGTTTCCAATGTAGTGAGGAAAATACAATGGCTGGGATAGCAGGGCTTTGTGTTCATATAAAACATAGATCTTATACTGTAGGCAAAGGTGCTTCTCTGAAAGCAAACACGTACATGTGCTTTAGGAAGATCAATCATCCTGGCTGCTTGTGGGGACAGGTTAGAAAGGATAAAATGAAACATTGGGAGACCACCTGGGGGGCTTTTGTCATAGAACAGGAGGGAAACAGCAATGGTCTGAGTCATTGTGACAGCAAGCATAAAGAGACCCATGAAGATGTGAGAAACTCTTAAAGAATTTGAATTAAAAGGATTGATAATTGGTTGCATATGGGGAAAGAGGGCTGTTGAAGAGGGAGATGCCAAGGTTGAAATCCATTTTACCATTTTGAGGCAGTTGGAGGCATGGTAGGGTCACTCACCTAGAGCTTAAATGGAGGAAAACTAGTCCCTCTACAGAAGTCATTAAGCAGCAATGTCCCTGGGCCATCCTATTATTTTTTCTCACTTAGATTATTACACAGTGCCTCAAAGCATCCAGGAATACAGCGCTTTACAGTGGGGAAGTCTACAGGTTGGACTTGAAATTAGAGGAGCCTGAGATTAAATCCCACCCTGCCAGGGGGTAGTTGTGCAAATTTAGACAGATGTTTACATTGCTACAAACCACATTTCCTATTCTGTAGAGGGAGAATAATAACATGCACATCAATTAAGAGTCTTGCAAGGATTAAATGATTTGTCGGTCTGAAGCATTTACCACAGTACCGGGCAAACACAAATCAGTCAATAAATGTCAGATATATTATTGTCTATTTGCAGTTTATTGTTTTGTTTTTGTTCTGGAGGAAGAGATGACATTTTGTGTAGTTTCACTGAAGGGAGACATGAGATTTAGGTTTTGTTCCTGTTTTCGCTATTGATTCTCTTGGAGAAATTTTGTTCATTGCTCTGAGCTGTGGTTTGCGTTTCATACTTAAACTGTTTCTTTCCTTTCTAACCAGTGGAATAAGGCAGACAATAGTGACAAAATAGAAAAAGTTACCTATTAAGGACCTTTTGAAAAGAAAATAAATCATAAATTAACAACATTATTGATTTTTTAGCTGTAAGATATGTAATTTTTCATTATTCACCCAAATAAAAGAATAGTTTCTTCACAAAGTTACTGGCCTCCCAATTATCAGAAGGAAAATATGTTTTCACAAGATTATCCCATTTTCAGTTAACCTTTTGTTAATTGTTTACTGATAACCTGCTATATGCCAAGCACTGTTATGATTAAAACTTGATTACCTTAAATGAAAGTTTCCCACATTTGGATTTATTTTATTTCCATCACCAGATTCTTCCTTGAGATTTCTGTTTGCATTAATGATGCTACAATTTTTTTCAGACATAAAGTATATGTTAAATTATTATATCTAACATGTATACTGATTATTTATGTACTACTTTCCAACTGATTTCCAACTCCTTCAACAGACACATGGGAACTCTTGATGCATTTGTTAACATGAATTGTTTGGGTGCCTATTAAGATACTTGGCATACTTAAAAAAATGAATACATGGATAAAATAGAATGAGATGTGATCT